CTAAAAAGCCGAGAAAAGCACTTCAATTAGTGGCCTAAAGGTCAGCTCACAAAAGTAATCATGGTCAAACCATTTAAGTTCGCAACAATGCATTTGTTTTGAAGTTGCGCCACATTATTGAACAGAAACTTTTGAATCGATATAACACCTAACATTTAGCGCCTGCGGCAATATAACTTGAATTACTTTTAAAGTTTCTCCTCCTCAAAAAACTATTGTAAATATTTCGAAATCTGTGCCACATTCTTCTGCCAATCAATACGCTTTTAGCAGGGCTTAACTCGCAGTTGGTCCTTCGAAAGAACTTCAAAATCTGTTCAGTTTCTTCGCACTTGAAGGTTGGTGAAAAGGGCGGAAAATGGAGAGAAAGGCTCAGGAAGGAGTGAAGGATATGGCAGCCAGGATATACTGTCAGTGGCAGAATCTCGGGTTTCTTTCTCGGATCTCTGCGGCTATTGCTGTTTCCATTTCTACGTGTATTTCTGTTTCTTTGGTGTCTCCGTGCCAGTTTCACATCACATCAGCTTCTGTTCGGGTTTCCCTGGCGTTGATTCTATTTTTCCCGCCCACATTTTCCCACCGCGTCTGTTTTGTGCACGCTCCATGTCATGCGGAAATTGAATAGTTTCCGGTATTGAACAATGATTACTTATGCTCTGCTCCGAGCCCCAAAAACTTTGACCCCGAACATCAGCTGAAATTCAATTCAGAAACGATACCCTGAACCAGATAAGGTATTATTAACTATTTTATACGTTTCTCATATGCATATAATGCATATAAAATGGGATTTTTTTTTGGTTAACCCTGGGTTATTCCTGGATGATATTTTGTAACCAGATATTTTCTTTAGTTGTTATTGCTTTTAAGAATATTTAAACTTCGTTTTCTCCCGCTGACAATGGAAATATTTAAGGTTTTTCCACCCGATCGCTTGGTATATATGCGGAAAAAGTTTCTGCCAAGGACATTTTCCCCAGCAAGGAAGGTGGTGGCGATGGACGGGTGGATTTTACTAGGACAGGACATGATAATTGAAAGCATTGGGGCGTTGTCATTTGCGCATTTGTCCGAGCGCAGAAAACTTTTTGCCAAGACATGGCAGATCCCTCACCTTCCCTTCGCTTTCCCCCCCCTGTCCCCCTTCTTCTTCTTCCTCTTCTTCTTCTGGCCTTTATCACCTTGTCCTGTTTTCCCATCTCGCTCGCATCTAGCGCTAAATTGAAGCTTATTGTTAGATTGTTGGCAGCAGCACTTTCCCGTTCTGCCACTTGCTCAGCATTTCAGGCCCGCCCTCCTACTCATACTCTTACCTGCCACCTATTTATTTGGTTGGACAAAACTTTTTATCCATGATATTGCACTAAACAGCAGAGCGAAACACGAAGTGGTACGCTCAAATCATTCATTTGCAACTCACCTGAAAGTAAAAGAAGCGGAAAATACATGAGTACACTGGGAGAATTCTATTTACTTCTTTTAAATTGTATACCAAATATGTAAGGTATTCTTATGGTTATAAATAGGTTATAGAAATGTATCATTAAGTTATAAGAAATTATTAAATTGATGGGGCAAATTTAACACATTTTCCTATTGTATTGTTGCGAATTTATAGGTGTATGCGTGAGCGGAAGGCGCGTGTTTTCCATATAAAGAGGCTGCTTTGCATTGCAATTGGTGGTTATAAATTATGACCGGCCTCCCAGACATGACAGATGTACTGCGGCAAAAGTAGGGGAAAAGGAAAACCGTTTATCAGCGTGAAAAGAAAATTCACTATGTGGAAAGTACTCGCTTGATGGGCAGCGGAAATAAGCGATGATTGTTGCGACAATGAAGAATAATTCAGAACTCAAGTTTCCGCTCTTATTATGCACTGTTTGTGCGAAATAAACAACAGAATTCAACAGCAGTTGAAATTTAATTGCTCTCACTCTTACTTTAAAACTTGTGCTCTCCTTTCCATTTTTAAAGACGTATCACCTGGATTTTGGCAAACTTGTGCAATAAATTATAATTTATCCAAGATAAGACAGGAGTCTGTTCAACTAGTTCACATGGCAGAACTAGGCTAACTTTGCGATAATTACAAACGCCCGAGGGACGCCGAGGCGGCACCGCAACTCCCTCACAATTATTTTAATTTCCACAACAGGCCAACTTGCAGGCCCCTTTCGCTTTTTGGGGCAACCCGCACGTGATGAGCCTGCGGCAAGTTGAAAGCCCAAAACGGCGCCCCACGCCGCCCGCAAAATGTGCTTTTGTTTACCTAAAAAGTTAAGCAATTTATTATTAAGAAAAACTTTTGCACCCGAAAGCGGAACGGGGGGATATGGCAAAGGTTATGGCCCTCATGTTTCTGGCCAAACGAGAATTGCGTATGATAAATGGGGGATCTTAAATAAAGTGCATAACAAGCCAAGGACAATGAGAATCGAAAGTCACCCATGAAAACTTAGATAATTTTTTACTCTTTTTTTCTAACTTTTTTGTTATAATATAACCTACATAAAATACTCCAAAATAATTACAATGTAGTAGGAAAGATGTTGTCTTTCGATTCTCATGACTCTTAAATTTAAATTTTGCTAAATAAAAAATTAAAAAAAAAAAAAACAACTTTATGAGGAAAGGGTTTTTTTTATTCATTTTTCTTGATTCTTAAAAATATACATGCTAATAAAAAAAAATTTGTTGTGAATTTTTCCAATATTTTATGGGCTGCTAAAGTGTAAATAACTTTTAAACAATAAAATTGGGTTTCATAAAACAAAATGTGACGCATTGTATTTTATTTTACATATTTTTTTAAAAGCAATTGCTCTCATTTAATTTTTATTTGTGTTTCGAACAAGAAAAGCAGCAGTCATGGAAATCAACAAACGGAAGTGGGCAAAATTAGCGTTTGTAAATAAATGAGCAAGTCTCATATGAAATTCATCGGCTTAATTTGTCGTGTTGTCTCTTTTTCTGAGCTTGTCGCTATCTCTCTCTCTTTCTAACCATTCAACCCAGCGAAATAGCAAAACAAAATAACTAGAAGTCGGGGCGCACATAGAAAATCAAGTAATTAATTTCACACGGAATAAGTTTGCAAAGTTAATTGGCTTAGTGCTGGCTTTTGGCTTACTCTGACTGGTTAGTTGCAAAAAAAAAAAACAAAAACGTATATTAGGTTTTCCGACAGTAAGATACTTAGTAGTCCAGTTTTTGATATCTTTATTGGTTTCTACGAAGTGAACAAGTTTTTCGTTATACTTCATGGTCATTTAAATAAGTATAAAAAGTGTTTTCAATAATATTTTAAGCTAAAGGGTTTCTGGATTATTTATTAGGCATTTAACATTTAACATTTAACTTTCGTTGGGCAACTGGTTCCATTAACTTTGACATGTGTGGATTTTCCATACCCTTCACTCCCTTTTAATCGCATTAGAGAAATTACGCGATTTACATAGGATTTTCCAGAGGGAAGGCGTCGTGTGGGCGGTTCGGGGATTAGGGACGTCAATTTTATTATTGTTATGCCGCGAATTGAAGTTTATTCTCGCAACGTCTACCTCGTGCATGTGCAGTTTATTTTATTTGATTTCCCAGCGCCATTAAAACTATGTTAATTATTGTAATCTGTAATCTGTTTTGTCGTAATGCCCGAGGGCTCAAAATTGTTAGATGATATTGTCTCGGTAATTGACTGGCCGCGAATTACGGCCCACCGACCCGTATTTAATTAGAGGCGCTAAAAGTTTTAAGAGCTGCGAATAATTGATTTTAAAGCTGCAGGTTTTTATTTCTGACTGCTTTCATTTATATCACACAGCTAACAATTATTTTTCAACCCTTTTAATCTCATGTAGTTTTTCTACTATATGTAAAGCTATTCACTTGAGTTGAGAATGGATTATAATATATGGATGCATCTGATCATGACACAATAATGAGTAAGGAATATGTAATATACGACCCATTAGAACTTTTTTATGTTTCCGCATTAACATAAATCTCCGAGGCATTTCCACCAAGTGAAAAGCGAAAACCGGCTCAAGAATAACGGTTAGAATCGGTTCAAACTAGTGCCAACTAGTTTTGAGCTATAAACAAAAACTATTAACCACCCAGGTATAGGAAATATATAAAAACGTCTACGAAAGGCGGCCAGCTGTTATATGTGATCGATTATATATGCAAATAGCAAGCAAACAAAACGTGACAAATTTAATTGGGAAACACCCACCCGAAAAAAAAAACAAAAGTACTGCATAAACTCTCACACGCAAACACACGAGTTTTCCCAAACGAAATTTTTCCGGAGGCGAAATCGAACGAACCGAAAACAAATGCATTTTTCGGTGAGGGGAAAAAAACGGTTACAAAGCGCGAATTCGTGTTTGCTGTCCAGCGTGACAATGCAGGAAAATGATTAGCCAGATAGCTCTAATGGGAGCGAGGAAGGAAGGGAGAAAACGTGAGCCAAACACCACATAAATTGAATTTTTGCAATGGTACCGGCTCTCGTTTATTCTTCTGTAATTGCAAAATTACACGGTCAAGGGTAAATTGAAAATATGCCAAATCCTCCAATAATTTTTGACATTGAACTTTCCGAATGCCGAAAAATAAAAGCAAAGAAGTGTTGTAGAAAATATTTATTAAAGAACATAAAATGAAAACAAAGTTGGTATATACAATATGCACAAGTTGAATACAAATATTATTAATTTAAAATTGTAATTTTTATAGACAAGCTGTTTGTAAAGAATAAAATAAAGATAAGATATCATATCTTTTCATAAGTATAAGTAACTTAAGCTGTAACTTAAATTATAAAAAAATTATAAATTTACTAAAATCATTTAAATTCGTATACATTTTTGATTGTTTCCTAAATAATTTGAAGCTGTACATATTCTTAAAAGACCTGAATAAAAATGTAAGCATTTTGAAATAATTTTTTACATTTCTAGTTCAACTGCTGGGCTTTTTCGCTCAGTGTGTACCTGCTTAACATGCGCGCGTCGCTCGAATTCAATTCCCCCAGGATTGTGATCGGCGATGCTCATGGTAATGTCTGTATTGGTAGTATTTGCGGGGCTCTCCATATTTTTATCTGGATTTTTAGTGGCTGCTGTTAGGGGCGCAGCTGCTGGCAATGAAATCGAGTCTACATTTCCCTCCATTAAGGCTTCGGCCGCCTCCAAAATTCGCGGTCCTGTGTTGCGTGAACTGCTTGTGCTGCTTGTACTGCTTGCGGTGGCATGGCTTGGCCCACTGTCATTGTTCAAACCGATTTCAATGACAATCTTATTCGGCTGCTGCTGCTGCTGTTGCTGCTGCAACTGCATTTGGTGTTGCTGCAGTTGGCGCTGCAGATTCTTCGGATGCGTCGCCGCTTGAATGTAATTGAGATCGCTGCGGGATAAATGGTGCTGCTGCAAAGTGGAGTACTGCTGCTCGACGAGCGCCGCCCGCGTTTGGGCCGCCTGGTGACCGCCATTGGCCGCCGCCGAATCGCTGGCCACCTTCTCGCGCAGCTTCACGATGTTCGATATGTTAATGCTGTTCGTCAGCGTGATGCCCGTGATGCAGACCAGGATGATGGTCAGCACGACGCCGCAGATGACCAAAGTGGGCATGCGGAAGCATTTCCGGCTGCACATGGTCACCTTGGAGTGGGAATCACCACCAGAAACGCATGCAGGCGGTCGAATTCACCGGATCCAACTCGCCCAAAAAGTTTGGGAAGTGTTTGGGTGGCCAGCAAACGTTTTTTATTTATTTATTTTGCATTAAATCAATTTGTATTTACTTTTGTGTTATTATTTATGTTGTTACTATATTTTTTATGTTAATATTGTGTTTCCTTTTAACAAACAGGTCTAATGCGTTTAGTTTTTGTTGTAATTTTGTTTGCTTTGTTATTTATCTATCATTAAATTATGAAACTACTTAATCAGTACAGCCAACCAAGTTTAAGCACAATCTTTTATTTAACTTTTATCAGACCTTTTATCTTTTATTTTGTTTACCAATTTGCCAGAAAATTTCAGCAAATATTTAAAAGCGATTTCCTTTATCTTTGTTTGTGTCCAACTCGCGAGATTTTCAACAAAAATTAGTTTCTGGTTTCAGCCTTGTTGCCAACTCGCGAGAGCGCCACAAAGGTGTTTGGTAGTACGGTTTTTTTTTATTTGTTTTAACTATATTTTCATTTGGGCGTGTTTTTAATTCGACGACCGTCGCGCTTCTGTGCGCATTTTGAACTGCTCGCTTCTGCAGCTGAAATGCGAATAACTGCAGTGATCGTCGCGCACTGCTTGTCGCTTAGCTGCATTGCCTATCGCTCGCTTGCTCTCTTTCGTACTCTCTTGGTCACCAAAAGAGCGTGTAACAGATTCAGCTGACGCTGTCGCAGCTGCGCTGTTGTTGCAAGCAGTTCTGCAGTTTCATAAGTGGTTATTGCTATTTTTGGTTTACAATGTTTTCCTTTCATTGAGTTTTCCAGTGATTTTTTGTTATTGTTTTTGTTGTTCTCATGTGGCTGAAACTTTGTTTTTATTTGCTAGTTTTAGGTTTTCAGCTCGGCTTTTTCATGCTCTCGTGGATTTTACTATGCGAATTATTATTCAATGGTTGGTTTGTTTGGTTTATATTTTCGTTGTAGATTTATTGTAAAGACTTGCTGTAAATTGTTTTGTGAAATATTTATTGAAGAATTACATTTTATTGCACTTATAGTGAATTTTGTATAGTATTTATTGTTTAGTTTCTTTATTTATTACTCTTATCATCAAGCTGTTTCATCAGGCTTATTGTTTAAAACTTTTTCAGTTCATCGTCGTTTTGTGGAAATTACAAAAATTTCTACTTTAAATTAAAGCATTTGTAGTTACATTTTAATGTCAATTTGGGCTTTATTCTAAAATTGTAAACTTATTGTATCGGCTGAAATATTTCTCATTTTTTATACTTTATGGTTTTGCTTTTAGCGATATCTATGTTGTTTTTATTGGCTTGAACCTTCGAAATTGGGTTTGTGATTTATTTTATTGCAGTCGGTTTTGCTTGCTTGTTGTTTATTTTTGCACTGGCTTGCTGTTTGTTTTTCCAAAAATACACAAAATGCACACAAAAAAAATGTAGCTCGTTAACATTTTAATGTTCTCATGCAGTTGCGGTTGTTGCTGCTTTTGAGGTGTGGCAAAAAGCAGTGAAATCATTTATTTTCGTGCAGTGATCGCTGGTAAATTGAATTTGCAAAAGTTTCGAGATGTTTGACACACTTTAAAAGTTTTGAACTTGCCAATAAAGAAAGCAATTAAGTCAAAGTTTTTCCTTAGACAATTAGTTTTAAAGAAATATAATTTAATGATTTCTTTTTGGTTTATATTAATTAAATTTCCTACTACATCGTCATTGATCTATTGATTTTATTAACTCATATTCGCCGCCCGCAAAATGTTAATAAAATGTTCGCCACTCCTTTCACTTTTTTCCCTTTCACCACCATTCCTATTTCCTGAGCTGTTCAACCTTGACTTTATCTTGGCTCTCACTTTCTAGGCATAAAGTTAAATCGTAAGGCCAATGTAATACCCTCCTATTCCCAAAAGGCTCCAAAGACAAAGGAATTTTTGACAGCAGCGTGCATCCTTTACGGATTCAAAATACCCTATATTGTGTTTTCGAATCAAAAAATAAAACAATTGCTTTACAATTTCTTTGTTTCCATTGAATGTACAGCAAGCTATTTAATTAAATATTTCCAACTGTTTTGTTTGGTATTCCTTTCTTTTAACGAAACATACTTTCCCAGGGTATTCCGCGTCCGTTTTGGACTCTTTTTTTTGGTTTCTTCGCTTTTCTGCCTTTGTGTGGTATTTCTTTTTTTGGAGGAGGATTTAAGCATTCATTTCATGGGATCTGCACACGCGTCTTGAGTTCAGTGGGAAAAAAGGGGACACTTTGCGGATTTAATTGAGCCGACACGCACGCACACATACCAATCCCCGTGTCACACACACAGACACACTCATACAAGCACGCCCACACGCGAGGCAGCACACATAGAAACTTGGCAGAAATTTCATTTAATTGCATATTAACGCCTGTTGCCTAGACGAATTTATTTCGCTCCTCCTCGTCTTGAGCCGCCTTATTTCATCCTTTTGTTTCGCAAAGAAAAAAAAAAAAAAGAGAGCCCTCAGTTCTTTTTTTCGCTATTTATTTCAATTAATGAAGCTGCGTCTTTTGTCGCTTAATTAATTCCAAACAAAAGGGCTCTCAACACATTTTTTGGGGCGGCCGAAAAAGAGCGGAAAACTGTGCGCGATTCGGGCATTAACGGATTACATTTTCAATTAACATGTTGAGGCATTTCAATTAGTTGTAATTTGTGACAAATTGCTCTGCGTGTGATTAAGAATGCCGAAAGACGTATGTGGATTTGACGAGAAGAAAAATAAATTATTCCCTTTTGGCTAGAAAGTAGCGTTTATTAAATTACTTCACTGCAAGGCTGTTAAATGCGAAAAATATGAAAAATCAATCATTAAATTATAATAAAATAACTTTTACTTTAGAATTATTTTTTCAATTGATTACTTCGCTACGTGTCTTAAAATAACTAAGAACAAAGCCGGAAAACACGAAACTGCATCGAAGGAAACGAAATATTTTGGAAAATTACCCCTACCACGAAGATGTACGCCGGTTATTTCTGTGTGTCAAATTGCATAATAACAACATCCATCAAGAATACAAAAAAAGGGACAGGAAAGCAGGCAAGACGCAGCTAAAGATATACGAACTGAACGATGTGCGGCAATCTTTGGCGTTTCATCTTAATTATTTTCAACAGCTTTTCATAAAATTGCGGCTCAAGGCGAACGGCAAACAGATTGCACTACAACAAGTTGCACGTTATGAACGAGGCAGTGCAGCAGCACGTTTGAAAATCGGGGGGAAAGCGGAAAATCGAGGGAAAACTTTATTAAATTTACGCAAGTAAATTGCAATTTATTCCCAGCTCCTTTCTGCTCTGCCGGCTTACCACCGGCTTCACCTCTTTCGTTTTCCGGGCGAAGGAGTCATTTTAAATTGGATAAGGCAGGTAACGGTGCGTATGCGTAATAATTGTTGGCACTACTTGAACCGCAATGGCTGCGAGTTGCTTTCTCTTTCCACGTGTATATTTTTTTAATTATGCAGCAGAGTTTACTTTTAAATTTATACAGAATGTATGTGGGTTTGCCAGATTTAAGATTTCTTTTATTTAACAAGCAATTCTTGCCGTTAAAGCGGCAGTCTTTCTAATCAATATTCAGTGCGGTTTATTTGGGCCGCATTTCGTTTTTAAGTTACAGCCAGCAAAATTGGACCCAGAGCTTAGTCAGCACTGCAGTTCGTGTTTCGTTTGCCATTTGGCCACCGAAACAAATTTTTCCTGCCCGAGAACGCATTATTTTGTCATTTGCATTTGCTTCTCTCTATTTTTCGGAGGGGATTCCTTTTCGTTCGTTCTTTCATTCGTTTCGTTTTTTCTTTTTTTTTTTCCTTTTTTTTTTTTTTTTTTGGTTTTTTTGTACTGCTGCTGGTGGTGCTGTTTTTCCGCTTTGTTCCTTGCATTTTAGCCCCGCAGACCGGGCAGATGTTTTGCTTTGGCTGCATTCAAATCCCAAATCCAATCCCAAAGCTCCTCGCTGCCAGTGGAGTGTCCTTGGGCCAAGTCGAAGTTGCTGAGGCTCTCGGTTCCTTTTTCGGCCTGTCAAATTCCGCACAAATCGAGTTAACTTCTCTCGGCGCCGAAAAAACAACAACAAAAAAAACCCCCCGAAAAAAAAGAAACAAGAAGGGGAAATACAAATTCTCATTCTGCATGCAGCCCGTGACCTGTGACCCGTGACCCCCCACCCCCCCAAAAACCCCTTATGACCCCCTACCCTCCCCAATCCCCACTCATTTGGGCCGCCTTCGGCTAAATCAACAAACAAACTGCGACATCATCTGCATCCGCGCGTCCTTGCAACCTGTCTCTAATTAGTGGAACTATTTGCCCAGCACCAGTTGCCCCCGCTTGGCCCCATCTTGTCCCACTTTTAGCGATAATTATGCGCCTGAGATTGAAGGGTTCACTCGGAGATTTCGGTATTTTCATTATTTACTACTACTACTACTTTGTGTTGTGCTGCAAAATGCTTTGAAAGCGCCTTTTTACATGCACTTTTCAATGGACTTTTAGAAAACATTAATGATTCAGAAACGGAGAGCAAACCTATGAAGTGAAATCTTGTGCTTTACTAATGCAATAATATATTTTTATTTAGTAGCCCAAATAGGTTAACACGATTACCGCAGCTACTAGTAGATAACTAGATTCTTTTCCAATCAATTGCCACATTTCTTTGACTTGGTTGCTTGGCAAATTGATTTAATTTGACCACTTAACTTTCAAGCCATTTGAATGTTGAACGTTCACTCGAAAAGCAGATCGTGAAGTTGTCAGGATAAACGAAAGGACTCGCTCGCCTGGTCATCCTATTTCGTACCTTGCTGTTTTTATTTGAACAGCTGGCAGGGGGGATGATGTGGCGTATACGTAATGTGTCCCGCTGGGCCAGAAAAGTCCATCCACATCCTTTTTGCGGCTGCAGTGTGCCGTTTTGCCCGCTTTGCCGTGTGCGTGTGCAGTGCGAGACTTTCGAAGCCAAACCAAACAAAACAAAAGGACAAGGACGGACAGGCAATGAGCAGTAAGCAGCCCGTCTATTGCAGGCACTTTGAATTATTAAAACTGCACCACAAGGATAACAATAACAAGAGTAGAGCGGACCAGAATCTAAACCCGAACCAAACCCACCATTCAGTCAGTGTGTGTGTGTGTGTGTGTGTGTTTGGGTGTGTGAGTGAGTGTCCTTTGTGTCGTGTTTTGTGCATTTGACAACGCAAAACGAAAGACACCCAGATGGAAAATGCATACACAAGCTTTCAATTTCAGCTTGGATTTTCCGTTTTCAATCGCACCAGCTTAATCAATGCCAATTGTCTTAATATAAAAGAGGCTTAGCTAATTATTTTCCCAATTAAACAGTTTAATCTTAGGTATTTTATAAGTGTAGTTTGTTTTTGAAGTGTAGTTTCGGTTGCAGGACCCAAAATCCACACTGTCAGTAAAAGGCACAGAAAACTTTTGAGAAATCGATGCCAGATTTAATTAGTCAGTGCCAACTGTTGACAGTCGAAGGATCGGCAGATGCAGAGTGCGATTTCCAAGTCCTTCGAAGGGATGGAGAGGCGGTGGAAAGGGGGAGGGGACAATAAAGGGAGATGGCAGCTTGCCAGGACATGTTTAGTACCCGTTTTTGCCCTCCATAAAGAGGAGCCTTCAGAGGGAACCCCCACTTCTTGCTCCTCCTCCAATGCTTTCAGTCAGGTGCTGTTCTGCGTCAGGAGGTTTGACATGTATGTTGTCCTGACGAAGAAATAATTTAGCATACTTTTATGCGCTGCTCCGTTTCCCTATCCCTTGCAGTTTGTCTGTGTGCCAGTTAGCATTGGGTTGCATACGTGAGAAAAGGATATTTATAGGGTTTTTGCTTGAAATTGACATATATTTATTATCTGCAACTTCAAAGTTTACTTAGCTCTTCAGTAAGTTTTTCGAAAGACTCTTTTAAAGAAACAATGTCAGCAATAGTCTACTATAAAGAAAACCCATTTGGTGGTTTGTTCTTTCTTTCGCTTAATTGCTTTTTCGGCTATCCAAAAACCCCCTTTACCCACGTCAACCTTTAAAGTTTTCACCCCAAAAAAAAAAAAAAAACGACAAAAAAGGGGAATCCCAACCACAAGGAAAGAAAAACCGCATTCGGCTTCAATTGTTGGCTGACAAAATGGATTGTCTGTGTTGGCCGCATCTGACTTTGGCAGAAGTCATCTAGCAGAAGAGATAAAACTATA